TATATTACCATTTTACTAAAACGTTTCAGTCAGTATAGTTCAATGGTCACGGGTATATTCATTTTGCACGCAGTGTCATCAGGAAACTAGTAGACATAAAAGCGAGCCATACGGTCTCAGTTAAACTGGCAGAACCTCGTGCAAAGAAATACTTTCAAGTAATTCTTTATGGGTCGAAAATTTGAAACAACAAACAAAAAAAAAACGACGAGACGTTCTGGGCAGGTTAGGCTAAAAAACCTGGATCCACTATCGTGTCTACGCGATGGATATCGAGCGCCAACCTACAAACCGATACCCCATGGCTCACCTACTGTTGGCATCAATCTGCTTGAAATGTTCCTCAACAATTTTAGGGATCGCAACATGTCTCACGTTAGTAGTCCGCGGTGGTAATGTCTTACTGCTGTCCCGAGAAAGGCTGGAAGCTAACGAAGAAATAACAGTAAGCGGTCTTCGATCTATTCGCCTTATTGAGGGCCCTGACCGCGCTTTCACTCTAACGGATGCCGAATTGAACGGCCGTAATTGAGCTACGGGCGGAACCGCACACGGTGTACGATCCGATTCATTTTTTGGCTTTGTCGAACCTCTACAAGACACACGAGTACGTGACGTGCTTGTCGTTGCGGCGGATTTCGACATTTTCACAATGCCACGCTTTGTTGTTTCATACAACTTGATATAAGTGCGATAATCTGGCTGTATTGAGCGTATAGCTGCCCGATTTGCTATCAAACCCTTGATCGTTCGCAGTGAACGTTACCCAGTAGCAAGGCTCGGCCATAACTGACCATCGAGAGAGCTTTAGTAGGACTTGAAAGGACGACAAAATGACTCATCTTCAACAACTACATTGAAATTATCTTTAGACCTCTGAAGTTCGCATAGGGGAACAATGTAAAGAAAATCTAGTATTTACGTTAATAGGAACAATTTACGTCACTCACACAATGGAAACAACATATGCTGCACGATTTATGCTGGTAGCTACGAAAATGCAAGAAGAAGCTAATGGCACGGGACTTTTCTTAACTGTGCGTCTGCCGAAATGCTATACTTTTAGGTGGCGCTATATAATGTTGGCGTTATATAGTGGTTTCATAGGACCTACCAAAGTGGTCCTGATTACGCGCTGAGGCTGTTTGCGCTTATTAAGAAACCAGTCAATAAGAGTTTATCGTTTCGTAGTCACCTTATTTTACTGTATCTATTGGTCTCTATCCACTGACGTTTCTGCTGTAGAAAATATACGAGCTGCAGAGAACGGCAAAAACTGATTTAATTCTAGAAAAAAAAACAGACCTACGGTTGAAGCTATAAATGGGTGCGGATATTTCTGCACAAAAAGGGGAAAGGTCGTAAGCAATGACTACTCTTACTGATCGCGTTTATTCACTTCAATATTCGACCTTGCGATCTTTTACAGATTCTTCACGACCGTTTTCATCAATAATATTTATCATGTTATCCGTAAGATGACAATACCCGTTTACATTTGTTTGATCTATTATTTTAGTGTACTTAGCCATATTGATCGAAAACAATTATCGCTTTTCTGCCTCTGAAACAGAAAATAGGATGCCCGTTGAGCTTACTTTTTGTGATTGGTTTAAAGGCCCATGCAGCGAGGACTATTGGCACACAATTGCACACATGTAACTCCACTGGCAGGGCCTTATGTTGCTAGAAAATTCGATACAATAGTGGAACGGCACAAATGTTCCACAAATAACGCGTGCGACGATGTAAAAGTGCAGTCACTCGACGTCAAGGGCTTTGTCGGCCCCCATGGTTCCGAGTCTTTGTTTTGCTCCCTTCTACCATGCAAGCCATATCTGCGGCACGATTTCACAGTCAACCCACAACACAGACCAGGAACTACACAATGGTTGAAAGGAACTTTCCAGTCGAAGTCGATTGCATGCTTAAATAGGCACATTTCTAGTCTCTGCCAAAACTTTTAGTCAGAACGCATCCACTAACAAAAACCGGCCAACTAAACACTCTCTCTATACATGTCCTACAACTATTAACAGCTGTTTACGTCGAGGTAACAGTCGTAGACTGAAGGATAGCCCACTGATTTTGCTTTTAACGGACAAAAATACAATGTCTGCTTTCAGAACTGTTCAAACAAACTTGTCTACGTAGTTAAGCCAAATGTAGTTGATTAGAATGAAGCGTTATGCACCTTCAGCGTCCTGTTTCAGTGTCCCATATTTATTCAACATCTGATGCAGGTCAATTGCCTATTGTAGTTCGTTGAAATGAGATGATATCGTGTCATGCTTCCGATGTATGTAGTTTGTTCTGCCTAGCAATTTTGCGACCCTTAGAGAGGTCTTTTGATTTCTGATTAATTGAATAATTATAGAGTCGTTGTTTCACACTATAGCGGCTTCGCTTGTCTAACAAGCTTCTCGGGAACCTAACAAGCGGAAATATTAGCCGCAGCATCGGGAACGTTTGTTGCAAAGTTCTGCCACTGGCTTGTTTCGATCGTGTAGTCCCAAAGACATTTTCCGAACCCCAAAAGGGCGAATGAAGAGCCGCCAGCTCCTTCTCGTTGCAGTAAATAGCTGACTTATGTGCTATGCCTTTCCAATCTCTTTATGTGCATATCGTGTTGAATAGATTCATAATACAGCCTTAGGCCGAATGTCGGAATCACCAGCTTAATCCGCATTTCCGCACACATTCTGTCACACTTTAAGAGCAATACTCTTCAAGCCTTGTTTTCATCTACCTTAGATCAACATTCGTTCTACGAGCATGATAACTGCCTATTTAAAGAATGCACACTTTGCCTTAAAGAATTAAGTACTTAGTGGTTTATCATTTTAACGAATTGGTAAAGCGAGGTGGCCGAATTCGGAGTATATATGGACAGTCATCGAAGGTGACACTGTGTTGCTATATGAATTACGCTACGATTATGCAATTAGGAAGTGACCTGATGGGCTCGAAGAAAGGGGTACAGGAGGGCGGCAGGCGCCCACTTGATAAGTGGGAATTGTCCACGGAAGGACGAGCCATATCAGGCTACTATAGCAACAACATCAGTGGCAGCAGCAGTACCGAATTAGCTATTTTCACCAGTACGCCTGTAACAAGGATTATAATTTGGCCCCGCTCATTAATCGTATCGTATTATCGTTGTTGCAGTGATTAGTTAGATCATATTTCTATGATCATGTTGTTTTCGGGATGGACGCTTGCCAACGGGCAGTGACTTGCCACGTAGATCTAGCGTGTCATATCATGCTAGTTCTAGTTCTACTACTGCTGTTACTACGGTCGACTTCGGTTGACCGGCAACTCCGAAGTCTTTGAAAAGCCAACCGGAGCTTAACGTGTCATCCTTGCTGCACCTAAAGACCTTTCCGGCTCCGAGCGGGTCTACGGCACCCTCTTGCTTTTTTTTCCAGTAAGAAACAATGCTATTGGGGCATCCTTTCGACCGCTGAGGACTAATTGCTGATTATATAAAGCAAACATTATTGCACATACGAAAAGAAAATGTTTTTGCCATACACACACAGTCATAACTAGACTACCTTTGCATTTTTAGCAGTCGTATTCCAAGTGACAGCTGAACGGTTATAGCAATATGGTGCTGCCATACGAACAAAACAGAGTTGCAGCGTACGCTCGATTTAGAAATTTACAAATTGTAGCACAGAATTTAATTGTTTCCCTAGGGCTTCTTTGTGTGCGATCGTATTGAGCGAGACCGGAGGAGACGAACCAGAACCGCTGAAAGAGGATACAGATGTGTATGCTTGTTTTAACTTTAAACTGATCGTTTTGCGTAAGAAGGGACATTTTGCGTAAGTTACGAAATGTCATTTTCTATAGTTTAACTTAACATCCGTAAGCGTAAATTGGACGTGGTATGCCTGAAAACGAAAGCTTATAGACATTCTAGAGCTAACGCAGATTCTTTCTGTCGAAAATTACAGTTATCCCGCGCGAAGCAAACGTGATTTTATGAAGCTTCATGAAGATGTCGTTGTTATCTGTAATTAAGGGTGGTCAAGATGGAGCTGTTCTGAATGAGTTTGTTCATCTGTAATAGAGGTAAGTTAAGTTTTTTGTACGCGTGAATAAAACAAATTCGCCAGTTCTTAACTTCAGCTGTATTGTGTTGCGTTATGAATGTGACATATTTGTTGTACGACCTCATATCATAAATGTTCTATTATGAAACAGCTTCCTATTTTAAGTATTCGATACATACACACTTATTAATGTTTCCGATAGTTCATTCAGAGTGGCTTGACTTCAAAGATCAAGTACACTATATTTCGTTTATTGAATTGTCTGTTTGATCCGCCGGTATATGGCCGATTTTATGATGCCTTTACGTCTTCAAAATCACAATAACGAGGCAACTTCACGTCAATATGTCTCTTCGGTCATCAACGGTTGCCCTAGCCACTGATGATTTATCGACTCGAAAAGCTACGTCCTTCCTGCTCCATTCATTGTCATACTTGAATTTTATGAACTCTTCATTGATTGACGACGGATACTGCCGAGCTAAATAGCCCTCAATTTGATTTCGGGACAGCTTGTGGAAATTAACCAGTTTTCTTCGAACCCTTTTACTTCATTTTAATCGTCTATAATAATATCGCCGTAGTTTTTAAGGTGACATATTATATCTAAGGGCCATGAAAGAAAGACAACGGGTGCAGGCTGACAAGAGCATAACATCTGTCATGAGATCAGCTAACTACCGGTTATACACCAACGTTCTTAGTGGGCCTAATTCCTATTCGAATATTTAATAGCGTAACTATATTGCACGAAGGATACATGTTATAGCTAATGAGGTGTAGAAATGCCTAATCCTCGTCCGCTGATTGTCAGTCACGCAGATACGGTTATTGTAGGTGTCACATAGGCTCAAATCAGACCAGAAAACAGACAATGAATTGACAAATAGTAATTAGAGTTTATTACTATACAAATGCGTCCCCAAATAGAAGAGGAAGATATACCTTTGCGAAAGTGTGTGATCGACGAGAAAATTCCGTCTTTATAAGACAATGTCTTTTTTATTTCCTGCAAAACGATGCGCTGCCCACATCATCTGACATTGTTGTAAGCCTTTATTTTTGACTCAACATAAAGGACTTGTTACAATTTAAAACGTGCCGCCGAAATATTGAGTTTGAACCTGTTCCATACCTAGACCCCTTTGAACTGTGCCCTCTGCCATGATAGAAACTTCGTTATTGAGCATAAGGAGGAAGCAGGAGATTTAAAACCCGCATTGGTTCTTTTTGACATCTTTTTGGGAAGACTACATCTTTGATCTGCATCTGTTCGATTTACTATGAATTGATTTAGCTGGCAACTCACAGCAGTTTACAGCTTTTGTCTAAAGTAATATTTGAATCAGTCCGAGATTAGGGTTCCATGGTTGAAAGCCCCATAGTACCAGTCGTAACAGAATTTCGCCAAAACAAAAGGACGATGTTTCAGACATGAGCGATGAGAGTCAATAGCTGAAAGGAACCGAGACGAACGTGCCGTTACGTTGCCACCCGTTTTACGATACACCACCAATTATGTAGGGACGGGCGCTTCCACGAACCTAGAACAACGTATTCTTAATAGGTGCAAGGCTAAACCGTGCAGGCAGGTGCTTTCTGGTGGTCCTGCTCGGGGGCCTAGCACGCCGATGCAATAGCAGGCTAAACAGCTTTTAGTGCCTATAGGTGTTACAACAAAGGATGCCGTACGAATGATTGATCATCAGTGACCCTGCAACCTATATATTTATATAAATATACTCTTTTGTATATTTTTATACAAACATGTTGTTGAATATGTACCACCACAGGCGAATAAGCGTTATATTTTATCAAGCGAATACCTTAGCAAGGTCTAGTATGAATAGTAATGCGTTAGCCTAGAACTTTTCAGGAAATCGGTTTATTTAGACTTTTTGATCTACTGACAAATTTAGACGCTGCCGAATCTGATTATAAATAGAAATTATTTAAGAAGCGTTGCAGTCTCCTGCCTTTCTACAGATATAAAGCTTTCGAGTTTTGAGTCCGGTGGCACCGTAAAGCTACGCTTCGAACGGTCAGCTCCAGCGACAAACGAACTGTGTCTGTGTCTGGTTTCCAGTTTAACTATCTAATGCATCGCAAAGTTTATTACGTAAACAATTTCCCACTTCATCATCGTCAAGACAGGTATAAAATGTTTAAAAAATGTATCTATATTTGTAATCAACGATGTCCCTTTATTTAATCTTCCCATAGTCAGGCGTGAAGATACCAAGAACGTATTATATAAGAATGAAGACTATTTTAAATGAAATTTTAAGATGTTTCAAATTAGTGGATTTCGGGCTGCTAATTTTGGCCACGCTCGATGTCAAACATACGCGATACATAACAGCTAATTTTGGTTTACGAACCGTATGGCCTTTATAAGACTTATGTCGTTGGGTTTTGAAATGCAGCGTCCTTAGGTACAACCCGGTTTGCAAAAGAAACCTCGAGCTTCGAAGGTCGTTGAAACTAGACGTACTGGCGATTTATCGGCATAATGCTAGACACATTGCATTGTAGTGAAGATATCCGTATATTAGAATCTTTTCGTATAACTAGACTATGTTTTCCATCAATTATCTGCCATGCAAGATGAGGACCAATCCTCTTGCGCTCTAGCGGGTGGTAGCACGCCATCGCAGCTAGTTGCGAAAGTTTGAATTATGATAGTGTACGGATCGTCGGAAAGCCGGGTATTCTTAGCGCGTGCTATCAGCTGCACGTTCACCGTTACCCTGTTTACCATCATTCTAGCCTTGATTACAATGTCACCGTAAAGAAGCTGTGTTGTTTTTGTAGTTCCGAGTACGTTGTGTGTACATACCACGGTATAGGTAAATCATATGCAATGCCTCTTGTTAAGCGTACATTAGGCCTCGTTTTATAATCATCTTTCCCTAAATATAGAATGTTTAATTGTTTGTCAAAAGCAATGGTTTGTGGCGGCTATCCGGGGCAATCTATACGGGCAGCCGCAGTTGTCGTAGCTGAACTAGTTAATTAGTTAGCGTTCTTGACATTTACAAGGCTTTCGACTCGTTGCAACGAGATAATTGGTTAGCAATACTTTCTTGGTTTGAGTAGAGTGCAGGTCCTGTTTTTTTTTCTTTTTGAAATATGAATCGGTAAGGCTGTTCTGGCAAGTTGTGATAACGACAAACATAAATTTCATTTAATTTTTTGAGTCTCGCGTGTCGACGACAAGTACTTTCAGGCTCAATTTTTCTCCGAGCAAATATTCAGTAAAGCTGCACTAGCTAGCCAGGTCACTTTTTAGATTCTTTAGGGGAACAGGGTCTGTGTACCCTCTGAGGTTGAATTTGCCATCGTTTGCCGGTAATCAATCATCGAGACAGTTGAACCGTTTCCGTTTGCTCACAACTCGTGAATGATTTAACAATTCGAAACCCTTTGATTTCTAATGGCCAAGCAATCGTACTTTATACTACATCGAACTGAGCAAAAGTCATTGAATATATATATATATATTATATCGGCGCTTGGCTGCTGTAGCTTGTAAAGTTTGCCAAAGCACAAAACAAAAGTGATATTTGTATGAGACTGGGAAATACGCTAAATGCTGCCTGATCATAGACGCGTGTCAGAAGTTAATCAAACTCCGCATTTAAAGTATCGTTGGGTGTCAATCGTTTAGGCTAACATGTGATTGCTTTCGTGCGTAACACCTGGATAAAATATATTTGTCAGTACACAGGGTCCCCACAAAAAGCAACGTTTGACATGCTCTATTATCGATTTGCCTCTGGGCTGCTGTCGGGAAGTGCTGCTACCGGTAATGACGTACGGTAGCTTCAAGTTCTATATAGTACATGCATGTGTCAAGGTAAGAGGTGTCACACTCGACCGTAGGGAGTGTACGTCTTACAGCAATATATGCAACGACTGCTAGTCTAATACGATGCTGAATCATTGTTCTGCAGACGATGCATCAGTGACCATTGCTTCCCTGATCTATTTGTTGTTAGCTTTAACTAGAAACAATTTTCTACGAACAATTGCTAATTACGTAATAATCCCAAGCATTTAGGTAACTAAAATAATTTCAGGTCAGTTTTTTTTTATTTGTAGATTCATAATTCTTCCATAATCGATACTGTGAGCAGAAGCGTGGACCTTGCACGCAAAATCTTCTACGAATATCAAGCTCAACTGCTGCAGGGCTCTCTTGATAAAAATCCTACCAGTACACCCCAGTGTCCTGGAGGCTTTCGAAAGGAGAAGGTGACCGTAAATCCGTAGACCTAAATATAAGTAATGTTAAGCAATTCGTATTTTCAACATTGGAAGAAGAGCTCAAAGAAACGGTAGTTTTGAATTCGACAGGATGTTGTCGGACGCCGTACGCCCAACCGTAGCGTCGGGAATCTGCTGAGGTTGCAAGCAGTAGCTTCTTAATTTACGAGCCTATATGTCTGAAGCTTTATGTCCGGTATCGCCGCTAGGCATTCCTTCAGAGAGTTGGCTCTCAGCGTGAAATGAAGTTTGTCTATGCCCAGGTTCGAACCTAGACCGCAACGTGTCTCAAAGACTAGTAGGCCATGTGTTACACACTAAGCTATCACGATGACGATTAACGAACCTACCGGATGTTGCAGGAATCAACGTCGTCTCGCCTTATACAACATTTCTGTAATACTCATGGCATGTTTTCATCTACTTAAGAACGGTTCTAATAAACACTTTTCAGTTTCTTTAATTAAGCGAGAAGACGAATTTATAGAAGGATAGGTGTCGCATGCCGAGGTGTCAAGTATAGATTAATGTATTTCATTGTATATTTTCCGCAACTTTTTGTTGCCGCAGTGATGGCTAACGAGCCAAAAAGTACGTTCCCTTCAACTTCACTCCTTCGACACACATTAACATAGCTGTAGATGCTATTTATGTTGACTGACTGCCGCGAAGGCTTGTACGTACTGTTTCAAATCGCAATGGGGACTATGAATCATCAAAGCTGACAAACAAACTGGTGTTACATTGTACGTTTAAAAAAAATAATTTCCAAAGCCAACGGCGATTTATGCCTTGACCACAAGTCAACTATTGTAGTTGCGTAAGGTTTCCAGGTATGTAAAAACAAGCAATTTATTCAGAACGAAAGACTGCTAGAAAAGCAAATGCCACCCTTACACGGCATATAAGACACCTGAATCACTATTTAAAACCTATCAAGGCCTGATTTTTCATAAGTAAGTAAATCATATTTCGTAATAATCTGATATCATAGGGAACCATAGGGTAACTGACTGACATAGCTAATACATTGTATTAGGAAATTAAGGTATTTATTGTCAAAGGATAAATTTTTGTTCAAGTCACACACGCATGTACGCATATGCACACTATCATCAGGATTAGCCATCTCAAGGGTAAACAGCTTCCGTTGTTAGCGGGTAGCAACTGCTCGGAAAGATCTGCATAGCCTCATTTAATTAGTTTTAAGTAGCGTAGAAATAGCCCCCACTAACTAGCAAGTTATTAGGTATAAAGGCACTTGGTAGAAGTTGAGGGTGAAACAACCTTCCTGTTGTCGTTGTCATTGTCGCTGCTGTTCGCCAGTCATCGACAAATGAATCTGGTTGATGGCCATTGCCTCGACTGTCTTTGGTTTTCCAGTTTCGGCTCAACCAAAAAAGAGAAATTCGTTGGAAGTACTCGGTTCAGATGAGTTCGCTACGGCGACACCAACTATACCGAAAGTAGTAGAAATCACAACGTTAGAGAACAATATGGCAAGCATCGCTGCTGACTGGCCGGTTAACGGCTGGTACAGAGGGGTCGATGCTGATACCGAGGCGGTTACCAACTTATTGGTATTTACTAACGAGACAAACAATACGACTTTTGATGTCACCCAGCACGTTAAGAAACAGCAAAGAGACCAGTCGGAGGCCGGAACAGTAAATAGCTTCAAAAGTGCTCATCGAAAGAGCTTTTTTTTATGGCAATTTATCGATGGTATGCGGTTGAATCAAAGAAAAAATTGTACCATGTCTACAACTAAAAAAAGGCTGTATATTGACACCTAAATATGGCGGGTCTTATTGCGATGACAGAAATAAATAGTTGCGAATTGAAACGCAAAAGCCCCACGTCACAAACTGAACGAGCACAGATCAAGACCAGTGAATGTCGTGTTTCTCACACTACCCCACCTTCAGCATCCTGATGACCACGGGCGTGGCTGTCCCGCTTATCCACTAAGAAAGATCACGTTTGGTCAACAGCGTGCCGACATTTTCCATGGCCTTGAATAGTCGTTCGTCAGGGAAACCTCTCCTATGCCGACCGTTTCATGTTCGACTCTAACGTCTTACCAAGTGTAGTTTACCTAGAGAGGCTTTCTACAATCTATAAGCGTACAACGAGGGCCTGCTTATTTGAGAGCTCCATAAACGGCAATGTAACGATATTATTAAATTATAATCATGCAAGAAAAAGTCACGCTTATTTAGAAATGAATGAATGATCCATATAAGGTATACGATGTATTCAAACGGTCTTTTTTTCTCATATAAACTAAATTGAGTTAGCTCAAATATTGACTTGGCTTCCAAGTGGCTTCACGTGGTGGTCTGGGTTCGAATACGGTCGTTGACGCACTTCATTTCGTGCTGAGAGCCAGCCATCTGATGAAGCCATCTAACAGTGGTGCCAAACATAAAACTTTCAACAATGAGTTTGGCTTCAGAATAACAAAATGTTACTTTATTAGTAGAAAACTACCTCCTTTGTCAGGAAAATTCGTAACGATCAATTTAAATAATTGGCCATTATACGAGACCTTAGCTGTAATACGGTCCACGGATTAGATGAAAAGTCCACTAACTCGCACCATACGGGAACTGCAACTGCTAGAATCGCATGCCGATTTTCGTCTCGTCCTGATGGGCATGAAAAGGTACAGATTAACAACTGAGGCCCTACTGTATCTTGTAGCTAGCATTATAAATAGAATTAGGACCGCTATCACCTTTTAGGTATCAAACCTGTACGATTTCTCATATAGCACGCACTTACTAGGTATAAAGAACTGCGGTTTGTTCTGACGATTTTGGATTTTCGTATGTATAATTATCGGGTACAGATAAATGTATGTTCATTGTTTCCATTTAAATGCTATACGCCTTTTACAATGATTTCAATAATAAATAAAGGACATAACGTCATGCTATTTTATGCTGTTACTACGTCGAGACGTTGCCTTGCATAAGTGTCGTGTAAAATGGCAAACATAAAAGCTGTTTCAGGTTGTAAGCATAAGCAGATCCAGCTGACATAATACGAAAAATTTACAGGATAAGTACCTACCAGAAAAAAACTAATCGCAGGATATGGCCTATTCCACCTATGAAATCTTTGTGGAAAGTATTAAATAATATAGGTAATAAAATATATAGGCAGGGAACAACAATTTACCCGGTGAATAAAGGTGACAAGAGACGTTGTAGGTCAAAGAGGAATTATAAAACAGCCGATTTCGACATGCAGTCGTACACATACGTTGCGCTGCAGTAGTTTTCGCTGCTGCGGTTGAATATTTTTTTCGATTAGGCAAAACAGGCAAACATCCAAGTTACTGTTACATGCGTAACAGTAACTTGGATTCAAGACGTGCAATACTATTTGCTATTAGTTGGGGCGCGTGATGGACTGAGCTTTTAATGTGTTTGTAAGACGTCAAGCGCAGCAGCATTTTATAAAACAAAAAAAAAAAGTGAAACACATGTCTCTATGTCTGCTCAAAATTTGCACATTTATTCTGACTAGGATTAACGTAAGCAAACGTCCTATTCTGGAACAGGCTCTAGAAGTTTAGTGAATTTAGCCAGGTGTTTATATAAAGCCCCGGGACTGCAGTAAAGCAAAGAGCACAGTATAACTATATATTATTTGAATTTTATGGATTCTACATTCAGGGCCATAAGCAGCATATACTTGCTACGTTAACATCCGCTTTCATTCCACCTCATCTACCGGAGTAATATAGCTATGAAATCGAATTTACAGAAAAGATGGAAAAATGGAAGAAGGTCAGAGCTAAGGTAACCAGTGTCTAGTTTTCTACGAGCCCCTCATGTTCATCGTCTAATCTTTAGGTCCGCCTTTGCATTCCCCAAGTAGCCAATGCCAGCTCAAGACCTCGTTCACAAGCCGGCCACGGGCATGCTAGCTAGTGATCCTACGAAATCATTCGTGTTCTACTCAAGTGACAAAATGACAAGTTGTACCTGAGCACACAGCGAGAGTTGCGGGTAGACGCGGTTCTCCTTTTGCTCCGCCTCCAAATTTCTTTTTTGCGCTATCGAAATTGGATTTTTATAGCTTCAACGCGTTGCAGACAATAGGTCGAACATGTGGCTGTTGACCGCCCAATACGAGCCACAAGTGAACGCAAAGTGCAGCACCGCTGGCGTTGTAACGTAAATCTACTGAGACCTTTACTTCTCTTCGGCAGCGTTGACGGCAAACGAGCACGATCTCAAATGTTGATACCGGGCGTCGAAAAAAAATGGCCGACAACTCTACGCAGCGGCCATTTGCTGGGATGAAGCAAGCATCCATATACAAATGTGTTTTTCAGGCGTCGTAATACAACATTTTGGCCCTGTGGACCGACTATGTGAAATGATAATACTGAAATGGGTTAATTGATTATTATATTGAACATTTAGTTCTTACCCATCGACAATTGTTTTATAGTAAAATGTAACAAACAGAATTTAAATTAATATTAACCGCCAAAGTTCAAAAAGTGAGGGAAATTATGCCTAAAAAAAAAAACACTTTGAAGACTGTTACGACAATAGTTGACCCGAAAGAAAATCTGGCCGTGTACGATGATTTGTATGGCCATAAATGTCTGTTTTGATTATCAATTAATAATCATAGCGCGTATGTAATGCCACAATTACGATAATTAACATAATTCAATTAATTGAATTGATGGCCTGGGGAAAGATGAACACAGTCGGTCAATATGAAATAAGCTGTCTGCACATGCATCCTTTCTATTTCGTGTATGCCATCATGCTCATAGGAGTTACTCTACAAGATCATAGTAATCATATCTAGTAAAGCTAAATTTGAGTTCCTTAAGAAATTAAAGGAACTGACTGTTCGTGACGGAGAGCGATGTTGCAACGCGTCCCTTGGCTGACCTTTGCAGAATGATATTATATGTCTCTATTAGTGGGGAACTTAAACTATGTTTATCGCCATCTTCACGCTGAAACAAGAAAGCTATGTTCTAGACACCCAATAATAATTAGGTTAACTCATGTTGTTAACTGTGACGGTCTTAATAGCTATCCCAAATGATATTCTGTGTAAATTAGGTTGAAACTTGCCGCATTTACTTTGTTTACTCTGTTTCAACAACCATGTCGAAATTTCTCCACAAGACAAAAAGATATCGCCATACACACAAATTTCGCTTCGTAGTTGTTATTACTTGACTCGTTGTAGCTTAAGGTGGTTGGCCTTAAAGAGGCGTTGAGGTTCTATTGGAAACTGTACCGCTACGAAGAAGTTTTGAGAGAAAAGTTAATATAACTAAAGCTAAACGGCAAGTAATTTCCGTAAAGTTGGCTGAGCATGAAGTTTTTACTTGGGCTTTGTTGAAGTTATCCGGTTACATCAGTTTTGCAATGAATTGCCCGCTCAGTTAATGGCCGTTCACAGCTGTGACTTTACAGCGCTCCTAGGTTAGAGACAGCACCTTTTTTGTTTCGTGCGTTTGCTCTATTTGTGCTAAAGAACTATTAGCGTGACAGTTGTTGGACGCGAAGAAGGAGTGTTGCCAGGCCACGAAAATTGCAAACTTACAAATTGTCCATTTAGACGAACAAGCGCCCCTTTCAGATTTGTAGGGTATGTTACATGCAAAAACTTCACAATGAATTTCATCGTTTAACGAACGTATGCCGGAACTAATATTTCGTCCTGACCCAAGAGTATTATGAATTAGATTCATGTATTTATGTTTGGTCTGGGGTCTTCTCGAAACCGGATAGACCTTGCCCCGTGCCCCAGCGTTTAAACATGACAGAAAATATCGACCAACCATTACTGCTGCCTGACTAAGCCTATAGTGCGAAAATAGGCTAACATAGCGTATATTAGATATGGAGGTGTATACAGTAGTTTCTCTAACGTCAATACTACGCCCATGATGACCAACGTCACTGGGATCAGTGCTTTCTGGGTCAGCTATTGAAAATACAATAATTTAAATGGTAAAATGTGTTCACTGTGCCTGGCATTCTAAAAATCTTCTATTCGGCATAATTAGCCCACGCAATCGATTCGATTGGAAGTCAATGAGCAGTCAGCTTCGCTGCAACCCATAGTAGTCGTTGTCGTTTGCGGAGTTGGACTTACGTGATTCTTCAATATCGTAGTGGCTATAGAACATGGACCGCGAAGGCTGCTGATCAACATGAATGAACGATCGCTCGTAGCCTGTAGAAGCAATGAAATTCCCAACATGTATTATCAAAACGTAATCAGTCGCAGATGTCAATCCAGATCATAGTAGTCCGACTGTTCTTTACGATATTGAAGCCATATAGTAGAATATGTGAGCCGACTCGTATACGACACGAGTTTACCGCGAGAAAGACCTCACCGAGTCGCATCGAGACTCTCGATGAAACGAGCTGAATTCATCTCTATACTTGCTTGAAGCAGCCCAGCAAATCTCCCGCCAGTATCATTAGGTTGAGTTATCAAGAATGAAGGCGAACGATCTGAAAGAGACAGTTCGCGCAACCCCGAATGCTGGAGACTGTCACAATGCGCTTAAAAAACAAGGAACGTAACAAGTTTAAGTCTGTAGCAGTAATAGGGCACTTGAGTCGGCGCGAACCCAGGGGCAACGCCGGAACTAATCTAGTCCCATATCATATTAGAGAATATAAATTTGCGTCCACAAGTTTGTCAGTAAAGTTTCCACATTTTTTAACCCTGAAGTGCTCACGACACTTCAGGGTTAAAAATCGACTTCACGACACAAAAGCCTCTAAACAGCGTCTAGAAAGCCCGTGCAAAATGAATCGTCGGTAATTGTAAGTATGTAACTCAAAAGGCAGAAATTCCCTTCGTATCGTAAATCATCATCTCGGCCGGTAAAGGTCCTTTAAAGACATCAATAGTTCTGTCTGGAAGAATCAGATCATTTCTATTGGAAGGTTAGGTTAACTTGCGCTTCCACTAGAAACAGTCTGTGTAAAGCCGAGTGATAGGCCTTAAGTTGATTTGTTGTTATATGTAACCTACTGTATGAAGTTCGAAGTGAAGCACAAAGTAATGATAGAATGGCAAAATTAGGCATAGAAGGAAATAAAAGCTAATATCACTCTTGCGTTAGGATTTTATTAGCCATACTCCATATACTCTCTCGTTTATATCTGACACAGATGCAACAGGTATCGTTGTGGATACTATTATATAAATGTAAGTGTGTCTGTATCTTTTGACCCGCTCAGTTCCTTTTCTGTTATTATCAAAGCCTATATATGCTTCGATATTGCCAAAAGTGGTTAGTTTTACTATTCTGTCAATTTATTTGCTGGCTGGTTAAGGTACATGTACTCATATATTGTATATAATATTACATGTACGTTCCTAGACGGGCCTTTGGCCACCTAAAGCTCTAATGCGCTCGATTCGATTGTCCGTTTGCCTTACGCGTCTATGAAATAAGTGCTACGATCTAAGAGACAAAACAACAATACCCGGCCATGAGTGGCAGGCCCGCTTACTTCAACCGATCCTGTATCCTTTTCTGATATTTATAAGCCGGTCCTTGAAGCAGAACGCGTGAGAGAACTAAAAAAAAAAGGACACGAGTGCCTCAGACATTTTCCAGGCTAGCAAATGTCATTGTGGAATGATTAAATATTAGAGATACATAGAGGTCTAGATTTGAATGTGGGCATAGACGTGGTTCAAAAATTCGTAACCCTTATCGATCCGCCGGCAGGTTCAGCATGAAATTCGTATATAACAGACCACACCACAATAAGTAAGGCCGAAAGATGATTTCGAATTCGTGACACCCCTTTCATAACGCGCCTTAGGTGCCTAATAGATTATTGAAGTTCCACGCCTGGCAAGCGTTATCTCCGATGATCTTGTCGCCTTCAATACGAAACGTAATATATTTAGATAGTTTTTTATGTGTAATGTATAGCGATCGACTGATAACGACGGAGGATGCCACCGATTTAGTATCTGAAGTGAAGACACGTGGGAAAAACCACAGCCGGCGTTGCGTCGTTGTCCAGCAGCTTAGGGAAGCTCGTGTACATGCAGTCTCCATTTTTGGTAGCGCATGCATTAAGAACTGAAACGTCATACATAAAAAGCAAGTGTATATACATCATATATATCTTGTACATACGTGGATAGTTTGTCTCTTCTAAGCAGCACGCAACGACTCATGCGGCCACAGGGAGTATGTGACGATTTCGGTGTTAAGGCTATGTTTATCTCAGTCAATAGTTTCATCCGATGCAGCATTTATTACCGTATCGTATAATAACCAAAGAGTCGAACTGATCGAATTCGTCTCAATACAGCAGTACCGATCTTCGAGATCCTCGCTATGTATCTCATTCAGTGCCGGTCAAGGCGAGCATGTGAGGATAGGCACGGGCCTCACTTAGCGCGTACGGTATGTGTAATTTTTCAAGGACCAGCTGATACTATCATTTTATGATAAATTTCTATCATTTAATTTTACAGTGTCGATCTCTCATTTTGTCATGTGAACGACTTAGCCTCAGTAAACCTCACTGATTGTAGAGTCATTAATCATCAGGCAAATTTTTTTGGCTGTGATCATACGAGAGATGCCCTGAACATTTCTCCTCTTTTCTGCTAAGATCATAAAAGAGGTAATGTAATGAAAGATTCTGATATAATTTTTCAGCGTATCTAAGCAACAATTTTTGCCCTGTTTCTAAAAAAAACAATGCCGTCAATAAACTACTACTACGTAACACTGCAAGCTGGATACCATCTAAAGTAGAAATAGCTTAATGCTCGGTTTTATTAGATATCGGTTAGGATGTGAAGTACCGTGGTTGTGATCATAAAGATCTGGCAGGCTTTTTGGGAGCTTTCTGAAGTAAGCCGAATTTTGCTCTGTGTTAAATCTGATTCAACCGTCGGATGAGCCAGGACAAGAAAACCTAACATCGACATAAAAGGACTTATCAGCGCACCTATTCGCCCATTAAATCACGTTAGGATTAGGTTAGATAAGTCTTCAAGAAAGCAACAGCGCTCAAAAGACTTCTGTCATGCTGATAGATAACAGTAAAATTTTCTACGAGCATTAGAGAAGCGGACTTATTTCTCTTAACGCAATATCAGGACTACGCTTACTACGTGATGACCGAAGTCATATATGCAGACGACCTACGTGACGCAACCCGTAGATCGCCTGCAATGAAAAGCACAGCAACGAAACAGACCTTCTCCTAGAACTGGAAACACGTTTATATAGATCAGCAGCCGCTAATGCTAATTAATTTATTGTCATTTACCGTAAATGTAGAATACGTCCTTAGAATTAGATTCAGAGAATTTCATTCCTTTGATGAGATTTTTATTGAAGCATTAAAAAAAATTGTCATTAACAAAATTATAATAACATATAATGATATTATACTTTTAATAGGTAAATTATTATGCGTTTGATGCGTAATAGTGACATAATCATGTATCAAAGCTCGCTCCAACTTTAGAGGCAGCCTTGTTGCCAGACAATTCTAATGGGAATAACCAGCTAAAGTTATTATTAAAACCTGTTTTTACTATTGTTAATAATAGCAATTATTATTATTACTAAGTATTATAATTATGTCTTGTATATTTGGTTTTTCTTATAAAGGGTAGACTAATTGCTCACTAAATATATTTAGCAGTACTGTGAGCACGTGTGGGGTTAGCGAACCGTAAGAAGGAGGCACAAACATGGACAATACATACTTCGGAGTACTCCACCCTGTTATACTGACTCATATCCTTTTTACTTTACGGAACTGCGAACTTTTTTCTGCGTCACCCTTGTCTTCTGCAAACAAGCTCTGATGACACATGATTTAAAGTTCATCAACTAATCTCAGATTGCCGAATCCAATCTATCGTATCGTGTAACAGAAGTGTACCGGCAAATATCAACGGTTTGCGCCGTACTAAGTATAAAGAGCTTTCCATAAATCTTGCTGAAGACACCTCTTAGCCCATATCGGTTTTTGGCAGGAAATATCGTGTGATCTCGTCTAGAACTAGAACAGACAAAATCTAATCAAGTGTAACACGCAACAGATTCAACAATATTGGCGTAATTGTTTGGCACCGAAAGTCTGTCCGGCAGTTATATTTACAGCACACGTGCGTACTTGCTACATGAGTTATTACCTAACAATAGTA